AAACCCCAAACCTCAAACCCTGAACCCTAACAGAGCCACGGTTTAGGGTTTAGGGTTTAGGGTTTAGGGTTTAGGGTTTAGGGTTTAGGGCGGTTTAGGGTTTAGGGTTTAGGGTTTAGGGTTGAGGGTTAAGAGGTAATTCCCGAGGTTACTGACGTCGAAGAGACCGCGGTGCTCGTTGACGACGGCACCATCGGAGGTGCAGGGAAGTGTGGTGAGATTAGACACACAGAGAGAGTGGCTGCCGCTGCTGCTGCTCCCCCTCACTGCTGCTACTACGACGAAGATGACTACTGCAAGTGCTGCTGCTACTGCTCAGTGCAGTCGTACTGGTCGCATGGGATTGAGGTCTGGAAGCATTTCTCGGATCCACACCCTATCCACACCTGCCTGAACTTGAGCAGTGCATCAGTCAACGGAGTGATCGCGTGATGACTCTGGTATCTGGCTCCAGGCCGCAGTCGGCAACAAAACAGTATAGACCTCAATTGCAAAAAACATGAACTGATAGCCTCGTTGCTTCTTGGCGAAGTGGGGAAGGTTATACAACATGCCGTAACTTGCTTTCAGCTATGGCTGCCCAAGCTGGCGCTGACCTTCTCGGTGCGGAGAAGCGGCGTCTGCTTGACCGGACATTCGAAGAGCTGCAAGAGATGTGCAGGCCGCTCTTTTTTGAAGCAAGCCAGGGTTTAGGGTTTAGGGCAGAAGGTCAAGCCATGATCTGCAGGGAAGCTCTTTAGTTAGACGGCTTCTTGAGGGTAATCAGGCTCAACAGGTGTAGCTGAGAGCTCTGCCAAGCTTTGAAGGCATCCTTGCGACAACTTGGATTGCGATGAACGGCTGAAGTTTGGGGACGTCACCGACAACGCCCGGGTCAAGTGCAGCTTTGTTTGCTTGCAAAAAAAGAAGGTTGCCAGGGATTTCTTGAAGCAGACTCCACGCCAGATCTTCGAGTTTAATCACCAGAACATTCAGGATGGTAAGAAGAGCAAGATATTGCACATCTCCATCCAATGCGATGCTTGTGGAGAGGAAGGGGGCCGCATCAAGCTACAGGACACAGTGGAGAAGTTGTACCTCGACCTGCGCCAGTACCTTGCCAACGACAAGGCGCAGCCTTTGTTGTACCGTCCCGGGAAGCCCAACGAAGACATTCCCGACGATGCCAAAGCCGTTTGCGAGCTGACGCACCGGCCCTGCGTGGATGACTTTGCGAAGAACTGCTTGACGAGTGAAGCTCTTCAGTCAATTCGTCAGTCACTACAACCTGAGCACGAGCTGTACAATAAGCTGCGAGCGAAAGGTGTAAAAGCCCAGGAGAAGTTCGGGGATAAGACGATGACCTACATCCGCATTGGTTTAGGTTTACTGGAGCTTGGCCAGTACACGGCGGTATTGGAGTTGTGGCCTAAAGGCTACAAGTCTCCCAAGCACCATCACGGCGGTTGCGCAGGCAGCGTGCGTGTGCTGTATGGCGCATTGAACTGCCAGCTCTTCGACAGCATCTTGGACGATGAGCCCATCAAGTTCAAAGGAAATGATGGGCAGCTAGGCCTGCCGAACGAGGGCCAGTCGGTGCTGAAGCTCACGACAGGAGACACGACCTGGCTGAACCGCCAAAACTGGTGGGTGCATCAGGTACAGTGCCACGATGATTTTGACTTCGCACTGTCGGTCCATCTTTACAAAAGCTGCTCTGACGCGTTTGCTTTCATGAAGCCCATCACCGGCCACACAGAGGCTTTGACAAAAGTTGAAGGTGCAGGTACTCTTGAAAAGGGCATGCCAAACAATGATTACTTTTGGAACGTCAGTCTACCGGCGAGTGACAAGCGGGCAACTTGCCTCAACTTGCCTGAGTCCTAAAGACTTTTACATTACAAACCTCAGCAGCAGTTCTTGCGAGCATACCTTGATTTCTGGAAACTCCGAAACCTGTGTTTGTTTCGTGAGCGGGAAGAGCGGCACTGCAGGTCGAGGAGATCGGACGCCCTGCGGACAACGCTCAATCGGCCGGTCCTCTCGATTTTGAGATGCACGTCTTGAACGAGGCTGTAGAAGACTCCCGACAGGCTCCTGGAAGAGCAGAAGGAGGCCCAAGACAAGCTCCTCCACACCAGGGTCCTTCTCACGAGGCCCAAGACGCTAAAAGCGCGGCTCGGAACGGGGACGTGGCCGC